GGAAATTCTGGTCGCCATTTTGGATTTTGGAAACTCTTCTTTTGAGGTTGTTGAGTGACACAGAAAACCCTTTAAATCGCATATCACTCGCCATATCAAACTTAAAAATGACGATTATCCGAAAAATCGACCATTTTAGGGAAATTCTGGCCGCCATTTTGAATTTCCGCCATCTTGGATTTTGGAACCCCGTTATATTTAGATTAATTTTAAGTTTAGTGACACTGAAAATCCTTTAAATTACATATTATAAATCATATCAAAGAGTGAAATGACTTTTATCTGACAAATCAGCCATTTTACATTTTTGTATTTATTGATGTCAGTAAGATGTTACTATGGAGAACGTAAATTTCAGATTATACATTCCAGACTTCGTAATTGTAAAAGTGCTCTAAACTTCCATAGATTTTTAATGCATATTTCACATAACCCGACATGCAGTTGTGGTCATACTCAAGAAGACAGCGACCATTATTTTCTGCACTGCCCAAATTATTCGTCTCAGCGTATCTCAACATTAAATACCCTCCCATTTAAATCCATAAATACAAAAGCGTTCCTATATGGCGATACCAACGAAAGTAACCCGTTCAACAAAGTGAGTTTTAGTAAAGTTCACAAGTATTTAAAACTAAACAAGCGCTTTGAATAGATAAGGTAATTGTCAGGCGACGATGATTGGTGTTAAATAGTGATGATGACGATGATGATGACGATGATGATGACCATGAAGATGATTTATTTATATATTTATTTATATACTAGAAGAATGCCCGGCTTCGCTCGGGGGTCATAACTCCGAAACCGGAAGTGGTAGACTAACGCCACCTGGCCTATGTTACTCCCCGGTATGAGCTACCCCTATACCCCAAATTTCAGACTCGGAAATGACAACGTGAATGATGGATCAGTCGAACGACAGAGTGAATGACAGGAGTTTTCCAGTCGAATAATAAAGATAATGGCAACGCTGGTCATAGCATATCTGTTTATAATATATTTCATATAAATGTTTATACACGTATTTGAAAAATACATTTAGGTCTACGTGTAATGTTGAATGTATAAATTCGGAAATGTTTTGATCTCTTGAACTGTATTATTTAAAATACACGATTAACGTATTAAATTGTAAATAATGAATCAAGCCAAGACATGTATTAAATGTTTTAAATGTTTTATTGAATTGGAATAGAAACTGAAAACAGATTAACACCCTGTGTGAGATATTTCATTCAAATATTGTGAAAGGGTTGGTAATAAAATTAAAATTGTCATTGTGTCATTTTAATAACATGGAATCGTCCTATTCTGTTACGTAGTCGTCTCAACATATTGTTGTCATGGGTTACTTCTGCTAAACAACTCAATAGAAACGAGTAAAGTATTATAAACGAAATTATGTCTAAAGAGTTCTTCATGACATGTATTGACTGTAAGACACAAAGCGTACAGGATCTAAGTGTGATGTTAAAGGTCAACACGTAACTAGTGAACTGATAAATATTGTACAATTTATCTAAAGAGTACATTTATGAAAACGTGGTACTTTTCTGATATCTAGTTAAATTAACACTTACCCAGATCTTGGCATAAGCATGACTTAAAATGATCACGGCTAAAACACTTCCGTGCGAATCAAGAATTCTTTATGTAAGAATAGGGCTTTATAAGACCGTAAATGCACCACACATTATGTCTCCATAAGATGGTAGCTATATCAAACTTAAAAATGACGATTATCCGAAAAATCGTACATTTTAGGGAAATTCTGGCCGCCATTTTGAATTTCCGCCATCTTGGATTTCGGAACCCCGTTATATTTAGATTAATTTTAAGTTTAGTGACACTGAAAATCCTTTAAATTACATATTATAAATCATATCAAAGAGTGAAATGACTTTTATCTGACAAATCAGCCATTTTAGGTAAATTTTGGCCGCCATTTTGAATTTCCGCCATCTTGGATTTGGGGAAACTAGTTTTAGAGATTATTTTTTCAGTTCAATTACTAAAAAACCTTATATATGATATATTACAAGCCATACCTTGCGTGATAATCACCCATACTATCTGGAAATTAATTTTTCGTCAAATTCTGGCGGCCATTTTGGAAATCAGAAAAACCCCAACCGAAAATGACGTCACAGAAGTAAAATAATCTCATAATCGTCTTCAGTGACAAATTTTGCCTCAGAAACAACCCGACCCCAAATTTTGTTCCGATTGTGACACCCCTAATCATACGACGTATCACGTTATAGATGAGGACAGATTTATCTAAACTTTATAGATAAAGACACGTGGCCTTGAGAGAAATTACGCTGGACCCACATCCTCATCCCTTCCATAGGGCATGTTGACACAGATAAGTTGATGAATTATCTCGTAAGAGTTCACACATTCACCTTAACGATCGTACGATTTGGATGTGACGTGTCGTGCACGGGGCTTGCCTCTTGACCTCATTTATTCAGGTGTATGATCAATTAAAATTATTTTATAGGCTTTATAGTTTATTGGATTCCACATTTCTTAAATACTGAGTCTGAAATATTTTCTTAAATTAGTTTATTTCGTCACTAACATTGCGTTTATTGTTCACTCAACAATAAACATGCAATATTAAAAAAAATATATATACATGTATTTCTATTTTTATTAAAAGATGTCCTCAGACGCGAACCGTAGGCCTACATGGAATACAGGTTCTATCGGCTAGCTAATTTCTGTCAAGAAAAAAAAAAGTTGACTCGGATCGCTAACATATATGCTTTAAACCATATGACCAGAGCTATGATAAAATCGGGCAAACTCGTTATAGATTCGTGGGCGTGCGATGGCATCTGGGGAGCCAGGAGAAACGTCCCAGAGTTAGGCGGTACTAGGCCTCACATAGGGGTTGAAATAAAGACACTTTACTTAAAAACAGGGCAAGTGTCAGGGCACCCTGACAGAGATAAGAGGTGGTGAAGACACAGAAAGATTAAGAGTTCATGCATTCACCTTGACGGTCGTACGATTTTTATGCTGTGACGTGTGTCGTGACGACCCCGTGTTTCAATGATTGTTCCATTAGTTACCATATTCATCCATGTTTGTACTTTGAATCATCATAAACAAAACAAAACACAAAGGAAATACGAACTCATAAATGTAAACAACAAGGATGGATCGCAATTGTCCGACTGACGTGGAAGCGAGTCTGACGTATTACAGCAAACTATCCAGTTTATTTCCTGTTCTGTTTACAGTCAATGCCCCAGGGACTTGAACGGATGCTGACACAACATGGATTGTAGAAAATTACTCATTGGGCGGGGTATAGTATGGGAGCACCTTATGGCAATTCTCTAAAGGGAATAATATAATAACTTCAGATTAAAGGAGTCATTTTAAATATTAATTGGATTTGGCCTTTTGCAACTTAAAAATACATTATGGGAGATTGGACAAAAAATTGGTACTCCTCACTATGCCAGTTAAAAACTAGATAATGTAAAATGTATTTGCTGAAAATTTCAGGCAAATTGATCCTCTATGAACCGAGAAATAAGCGATTGAAATTCGGTAGGATAAAAAACATAGTCTCGATTATCCATTTTTTGATTTAATCAGAAGCAGCAGACCGAGTTCTAATCCAGTAAATATCGCAGACTAGCAATGCTATCGAGGGTTGATTATGGTCTTGTTTTGTTCATTAGTGTCTAATTAATAATTTAGACAACATTTCAGGCCTAAAGAAAGACCCGCAATAGGCCGATTTAGCTCTTGCATAATGTATGTTTAATGTCTGATTAATAATTTAGATAACATTAAAGGCCTAAAGAAAGACCCACAATAGGCAGATTTAGCTCTTGCATAATGTATGTTTAATATGATTAATACAATGACATCATTATTAATGTGACGTCATAATGTATGTTTAAGATCTCCTTTATTTCTTTAAAGATGTATAGTAAGAGGTAAATCCAGATCTTTCGCTTGGCCTCAAATGTATATAAAAAAATTAATTAGACATTTTTGTACATGTCAAGCCCGTCATCAACTCTCTAAACCATCGGTTACTTTTGATTTCTCAACGGATTTAAACACGATTGCTAGTTAATAATAAAATTTCCAAAAGGATAATCGAGACTTTCTTTCTTTATCATAACAACCGAGGGTATTGTATTTTTGAAACGGCCATATCACCCCTCGGAATGACATAGTTTCACTGATATTTTCAAATTCCCTTGTCATTATCTATTTTCTTTTTAAAACTATTGTAGCGATAACTGTTAGCTCTGTATCTGAATGTTAAATAACTCATCTTCAATAATTATTACGTACAACATTTAAATCAAATCGAATCTATCGTCTATAGTTTTTAGGATAAACTTTGCGGAGTATGGTATTTCTTCAATCTCGGTGTTGACTTTTGTTTAACGGTCTACTGATCTGCACCGAGTGGGGTAATGGAGACGAGTCTCGATGTGGTATCACCTTAATGAAATGAAATGGGGTTTAACGTCCTACTGTTCTCCTCCCAACCGGGCTAATGAAGACTGGCATACGCCATACAGTGTACTATGAGGGAAATTTCGCCCGGACAGTGGCACTACGGCCTACTCTTTTATCGAATTTCAATTGTCAAGGGATATTTTACGTGCACGCCAATGGGTACACGGGACCTCTATTTTCCGTCCCATCCGAACGACTAGACAGTTGTCCTTGCCAGGCCCTCCGTCCTGCACCACTTACAAGGAGGGGCCACGCGACATCCAGGCTAGCGAACCAGCGTCTTACCCACTAAGCCACCGTGGCCCCCGCCCCTTAATGAGATTATTTGGGTGTAAATATTTGCTATGTGTATCTATCTATAATATACATTGTTTACTATGAACAGCACGAGCCCCCATATACTTGTAGAGCATATCGTTAAAGCAGCGGTGGAGATTGTTGTATACCATTACACACGAAGCGTAACAATAAATTTCTTTATGATATTGACTTACCTATCCAACTCTGTTCACGCCCGACATCAACTCCCTTTCGACAGACGATATTTCCTCTTTTTAAATGACTTCTCTCCTGACTTCCGCTCCGGCTTACATAAATTGTAGATTATTTTATCAGTGTAAATGAATACACTAGAATTAATTAAGATTTTGATCGTTATATAAGCGTGAATCCTACATAGCGAACTTATATATTTATGTAAGTATTGGTTCATGCATGGTAGTATATGTGGTGCGCTATATGTATTCTCAGTGTTCATTCATTCGATGAAAGTTTGTCTGCAACGTGTAGCGATTGGCTCGCCCATGTGGACACAGATCACTAAAGATTTCCCCATTGACTCCAATGTTAATTCTCGTATCTTAGACCTGCTCTAACTTTTTCCCACATTTTCGTTGGGTAGAACGCTTTCTACCACAGATGGAGCAACATGTGGCAACCACTTGCCCAAAAGCACGTATGAGGTTCTTCATGAAAAACTTGAGATACACAAGCTGGAAGTAGAGACAAGTAAACATGCAATTTCAGGCCCTACATTTCAACGTAACCAACCTCTCAACTCTTGTATCCTTCCTCATCAAAATTATGAATATTCACCAAAACCTGACAGAAAATGTATTTTCAAACCCTTTTCCTCAATTCTACACCAAAAAGTCAACAAAACAAAAATCGCCATGCAAAAGGGGGAAAAGGGAAAAGGGAGAGGAAGACTAAAAATAGCTTTGGCCCTTGTTTCGTGGGTGACGGCGTAGGAATATTTGGTGATCTGTGTCCCGGCGTAGGAATATTTGGTGATCTGTGTCCATGTGTCACACGAGTGGGTTATAAAACACACACCGGTTTTAACAAGCTTTCATAACATTTGCCAGTATTTTATTTTCTGAGAGTAATTATTAAGGCAAGGTCTACAATACAGTGCAGGAACTTGAGGTAGGTTATTCTGATAATTTAATAAATTTATTAATTTAGTTTCTATATACTAATAAATCTTGTTAGATATATATGAAGGAATTTTCACGGTCCACTAGTAAGTTGGAGTTGTGCTCGGTAACAATGTGTGTTGACAAGCAGACGATATAAAATGATTTTTTGCAAAACGTTGCACAAAACGTGCAGCTTTCTGTATGGGCAGGGAATAAAATAATGTAATATGGCGTCTCGTCTACACCTGACTCAGTCGTATTTTAAGACTAACCTACTGGAATTCTTAATTTCCTTTTTCACGTTAGAGAGAAATGCGGTCTAACGTCTACTCGACACAAACTGGGTTATTTTGGGACTAACATAATATGAAAATGAAATGAAATGAAATGGGGTTTAACGTCCTACTTTTCTGCTCTTAAACTGGGCTAATGAAGACGGGCATACGCCACACAGTGTGCTATGAGGGAAATTTTGCCCGGGCAGCGACGCTACGGCCTACTCTTATATCGAATTCCAACTGCCAAGGGATCTTTTACGTGCACGCCAATATGTACACGGGACCACGGTTTTTCGTCCCATCCGAACGACTAGACAGTTGTACTTGTCATGCCCTCCGTCCTGCATCACTGACAAGGGGGAAACCACGCCGGAAAATCTGGATGAACTTTCTCTGCCAATGCAGGGATCGAACACCCGACCTCCAGGCTAATATAATATGGTTCCAGGCGTGGGACTGGAAACCCTACCAATGTCACTCTTAAACACACGATTTTGGCTCACACAAAAAACTGTTCAAGTGCGAGTCACACAAACCACGATGGTCTTAGCGCACGCTAATAATTATATTATTGAACGACACTCAACCCTCCAGAATAAGAAATACCGAATACGCGCTTGAAGGCCTATGCATTGTATTCCCAAGCGCCAGACAGCATGACGTTAACAATGGTATGTATGCGAATTCAAGCGTACAATACACGCCATATCTCCGTGGGAGTCACGGTGACTCGGTGAGTAGGGCGTTTTCTCATTAACCCGGAGATCCGGTGTCAGCCGAGAACGTTTATCTGGATTTCCTGGCGTGGTATCCCCCTTGTTAGTTGTGCAGGACGGAGGGCCTATAAAGGGCTAACGTATAGTAGTTCGGATGGGACGAAAAACTGAGGTCCCGTGTACACATTGAGGTACATGTAACTCAACCCTTGACAAAATGAAATGAAATGGGGTTTAACGTCCTACCAAACTGGGCTAATGAAGACAGGCATATGTCCGTGTACAATTTCCCTTCGTAAGCCTAGTCGGTAACGAACAGTAGGACGTTAAACCTCATTTCATTTCAATTCCTTATCTCCGTTACCCATTCAGCAAACAAAAGACTTTAAAGAGGGGGGTTGGATGACCGAATGGTTAGCACGTGCGCGCTGGATCATGAGGCCTGTCATTGAGTCAACTGGCGTGGTTTCGAATCCCCGGTGATAAGGAGTAGGGTTGCCTGTCCAACCTCGTGGGTTTTCTCCGGGTCCTCCGGTTTCCTCCCACTGCTAAAGATCCCTACGCGCAAGCGAATTATTGAAATAAAATTAGAAACCATAATATGTTAGTCCCGAAATGACCTAGTCTGTGTCGAGTGGACGTTAAACCCCATTTCTCTCTCTGTGTCATTTGATTAGAATACCAGTCGCTGATCACGATCGTGCATTTGTCATGCTAAGATGTACCCAAATTGATTGAGAAACGTAATGGGGTTTAAAGTTACAATTTCATATTTTTAAGTTATATTTTTAAAATGTATCAAAATAAAGCCCTAAAATAGATGGTATCTATAAACAGTCCTACCTTCTTAAAGAATAATCCTATTAATCCTATAATTCACTATTGCCAGTTGAGAAATTGGCAAAAATATCATTTTCAACTTCAAATTCAAACGTTTGAGATAGCTATTCCTTAGTGGGGAATAGGAAAATAATGGAGGTAATTGTGTTATTATTTCCGGTGTGAAGGTTTGTAAGTGTGAGAAAGATAACCTATAATCGTACATGTATAATAGTGAGTTTACAACATATTGACCAAAAGACATAGAAATAATTATGTTTTGACTTTCTTAGAAAATATGAAATTGTAACTTTAACGTCTTACTTTGCTAGACAAACTGGGCTAATGAAGACGGTCAAGCACGTACACCATCTCGGAACTAATTCTGGAACCTGGCCAGATCGTTAACAAACGGGATTAATAACTCCTCTGAACTTATTTTATTTCTGTCGATCGTGTATTAGTTTCTTTATGTTTATCAATGGCGGATCCCCCCCCCCCCGCTCAGCTATATATATTTTTTTTGTAAATCAACACTTTTTATGAGAAAAGTTTCTCGACCGTGTGCTTTATCCTTTATCGTCAGATGTGGGACAGGATGGGCACTCAAAGCACGAGATAATGATATAGACATTATGTGATATCACAATTAATGTTTTGCATCCATGAAATTGAATCACAATGTCATTGTATTAATTCATAATAAAAAATGACGTCAAACGAGGTGTTGAATTTCTCTGTTTAAAAAGCTCAATGTGTATGTATATATATATATATATATATATATATACATACATATATATACATATATATATATATACATACATATATATACATACATATATATACATATATATATATACGCCAAAATGACGATAGAGACCATGCGGAAGGGGTGGGGGGAGATATACATTTTCTCAGGAACTTGACAAACCCCCTCCTGCAAAAATTCCTGGATCCGCCCCTGTTATCGCCCACTTAACATCTGCTTAGTATTTTACGAGGTGTCATAAATTAAATATTGTATCGCTATATTTATAAGTGTTCGTTGTCTCCTGTATATAAACACAATATTACAAAGTATATTAGTTCATATACCCCTACCCTATCCTCGCCACCTCCATACCTTAACCCTTTAATGCTTGTAATATCCAGTCATTCTGATTTTGCAGAATATAGGAATAACATACCATTTTCAACAACAATACGACAGATTTTCCATAAACTTTTCTTATTCTTAATAATATTAGTCCATGTCCAGTCCATGTTCCCATCCCACTCATTTCACACCTTCTCCTAAAAGAAAAAAAAAAAAAAAATAAGTCATAGTGTTGTATATCTATGCGCTGAACGGGTTGTAATATGGTTGAACGTCTCGTAAACACAATAATTTGGTTATTTTGAAATAACATGTGATTATTTTGTTTTTCTTTGGTCCCCTGTACAACTTTGTCCCGGTGCTACCAGGAGCTATTTTACCTGCGACAAGGTTTATTTTACCTGCGCCAATGGTTATTTTTCCGTCGTCAAGACGAGACAGCTGGCCGTAGCTCCACTGTCCGCTGCAGAACAGTAGGGTGTTAACCAATTCAATAAATAATCCTTTTTTTTTGTATTTTAAGGTAGACAATGAAGAAAGTTGCTATAATTGGAGGCGGTATCAGCGGGATAGCCACCGCCTATAACTTATGGAAGAAAGGATTACCCGGAAGTCACATTACCATGTTTGAAGCCCGTGATAAGCTAGGCGGCCATTCTAGATTATTCCATCACCCTAATCTGTCACGACCCGTCGATGTCGGATTCCAGGTCTTTAACCTCAACACATATCCACTGCTGCTGCAGTTCTTCCGAGAACTTGATGTGGACATCTACGATTCCGATATGTCCTTCTCCGTTGAGAACGAATCGTTCGCCTGGGGATCCAAATCCGGCCTGTGGTCGCTCTTTGTAGCTTTTCTCCAGGCCCCTATCCAGATGCTGAAATTCTTGTGGACCCTGTTCTGGTTCTTTCGGGATGCCTGCTCTTACATTCAGGGTGTTGATTCTGGGCAGCATAAACACGTTTCAATAGGAGAATTCTGTAGAGAGAGAAAGTATTGTGACGAATTCATGCAAGGGTATTTAATACCGTTTACTGCCAGCGTCTGGTCCGCCACGTCTGACAACTCAGAGGACTTCGATGCCTTCACCATATTTACCTTTATGGCGAATCACCACCTACTGGAGTTCCGAAATCTCAAATGGAAAACGCTGACCCATACTTCAGAGAGTTACATCAACGCTTTTCTTCACAAATGTAAGCCTATTGTTAATCTAAAGAAAAGAGTTGCGTCATTGAAACAAAATGATAACTTAAAATGGCGGATAAACGATTCGGAAGATGAATATGATGATGTGGTTTTAGCTCTTCACGCCCCGGATGTAAAACATATCCATATCGAGGCTACTTCAGGAGACACGGACGAGCTAGTAAAGAAAATGGCGTCCGTTCGCTTTGATGACAAGTATGTTATCATCCATCAAGATACATCGTTAATGCCAAGATCTAAGTTAAATTGGAGTAGCTGGAACTTTAACCATGGCGTGGTTACGTACTGGGAGAATTCTCTACAACCAATCGGCTTCCATTTTGATGTTTTTGTTTCTATTATTCATAAAGAAATCATGAAGGAGACAGAAATCGATCAAGATAAATATCTAGCAAAACCAATCATTATGGCGCACCCAGCTTATGGCTTGGAAAATATTCAGCTCGCTAAAGATATCAGAAACTTACAAGGCTGTAATGGACTCTATGTTTGTGGAGCTTATCTAGGTTACGGCTTCCACGAAGATGGTTACAGAAGCGGTTACGAAGTTGCTCAGTTAATTGGTGACCGGGCTGTTGATATGTACGAATCGGTCATCACTTACAACCGATCGGTCGAGGATACCTATTCTAAGAGTATGCTGCAGTCTTTGTCCGATAACATAGCGTTAGGAGCACTCAAGCAGTTTTTGGCTAGTAACATCAAAAAGGGCTGCATCGGCATTCAAACGCCTGGATATGGCATAGAATTCTTTGGCGAGATTGGAGTACCGACAGTTTTGGTTGATGTTAGGAATCCTAGTTTAGCCTGGAAGTGTCTGCTACAAGGAGATATAGGTCTGGCAGAAGCCTATATTGATAAAAGTTTGCGTGTTGACAATCTGCCATTGTTGTTATTTTATCTGGTGATTAATACCTACCCTGCTCAACAAACACTTACATGGCGTCCCCTCGTCTTCTTCTTCAACAATATGTGGCCGAGGATCGGACACACCCAGCGGTTGAAAAATACCCCGGCCGTCGCGAAACAAAACATCATTGAGCATTACGATCTCGGAAATGACTTCTTCGAGACTTTCCTCGATTCAACCATGACATACTCGAGTGGCATCTTCTTAAAGCCGTCGGATGATTTGGAGACCGCGCAGTTACGGAAGTACGATCGCTTGCTTGATTTGCTTGACGTGCCGGAAGGGGGGCATATTTTGGAAATAGGATGCGGATGGGGAGGAATGGCCGTGCGAGCTGCCAAAACACGCAGATGTTTCATGAGCTGTATCACCATCTCACCAGAACAAGGTAAATATTGTCGAGAGCTTGTCCTCAAACACGGTCTACAAGATTCAGTGAAGATCTACGAGATTGATTTCCGGGATATCCAAACGGAGTTTGCGCATTTGAAATTTGATGCCGTCGTGTCTATAGAAATGATCGAAGCGATAGGTCCTGATAATTACGACCTATACTTTAAGACAATATCCGGTGTACTGAACCCGTATGGAAAGGTCGCCATCCAGGCCATAACGCGATTCGAAGACCAGTACGAACAAAACAAACGCGAACCAGATTTCATCAACCAATATATTTTTCCTGGGAGTTGTCTCCCTTCGCTGGGAACTATCTCCCAACATGCCACGAGGAACGGTCTTGTTATTTCGGAAGTTTACAATATATCGGAGAGCTATGCCAGGACCCTGGCTACTTGGAGGGAAAAATTCAATCGTGCTACCAAAAAACAGGACTTTAGATTTGATCATAAGTTTATTCGAATCTGGAATATGTACTTTTCAATGTGTCAGGCAGCGTTCGAGGCCAATTCAATTCAAGATTTCCAAATCGTTTTTGAAGCAATGCGAGTGGATAGTAGTAAAATTTTGTGACATGCAACTGTTAAATCGAGTACCACGCGAGGAAGTTGATCAGATCGGGTGTGTGTATATTATAAACAAACAAACCTCTCCTTATTCTAAACCGAAAGTCTGTAATCATTAGTATCAAGGAAACGGAATTGACTATGTCAGAGAGAGAGAGAGAGAGAGAGAGAGAGAGAGAGAGAGAAATGGGGTTTAACGTCCTACTAACTATTCTGCTCCGAACTGGGCTAATGAAGGCGGGCATACACCATACAGTGTGCTATGAGGGAAATTTTGGTCGGACAGCGGCTCTACGGCCTACTCTTATATCGAAGTCCAACTGTCAAGGGATCTTTTACATGCACGCCAATGTGTACACGGGACCTCGGTTTTTCATTCCATCCAAACGACTAGGGTTCTTTATGGTTCACGCAATTGTATACAAGTGGTTTTGTATATTGTACTATCCGAACAACTATACGCCGTCCGGCACCATTGATAGATACCGTGCCGGAAGGTTATCTGACGAATCACTGTCTCAATAAACATCTATCATTATCCAACATCTTTTTAAAATGAATTTCCATTTTTTGCTAATGTTTAGCATGTTTTATTGTTATTATTGTTGTTATAGTACATATTTTGATATACATGTATTTACTTATCTTAATTGATTAATTGCTTTAAAGTGGATAAGTTAATCTTTACTCCGAACCCTGATCGTTCTAATCTGGACGCACTGTCTTATCTATTTACCTTTTCTACACAACAATCTTAAAATAATTTAATATTACTTAACATGCATCCTAGTCATTGATTTAGTATGTACCTATATTTGAGTTACGTCTCAGTAATGTAAATATGTTAATTTATATCACATTTTGTATTATATGGTTAACCCTTATCATGTATATGTTCAACTAATTCTAGTGTAATTATTATTAAGATATTAAGTTGGCGATAGCGACTGGGTATAAATATAAGAGACGAAATACGAACAATTATGTTCATTCGTTAATAAACCCAGATCGACGTCAAATAATTAGTACTTATGTTTCTTATAGGTGAGTTAGTTTATAATTGTGTCGCCTAATAATTCATTTAGTATATATGTTTATGTTATTCCTAATATTATAATGTGTAATAGTTTACTATACTTATTCACATAATATGATAATACTTTATATTTGCTATTGATAAATGTATGTTTCTTTTATGCATAATATGATAATGTGAAATAGCTTACAATTGCACTTGATAACATTGTCATTATTGCCGCTGTGACGATAATTAACAAAGTCTCGATTATCTATTTTTGCGTTTAATCATCAACGGACGTTAAACAGCAGATCGGATTCAAATCCCATGAAAATCGAACACATAAGATGACATCGAGAGTTGATTATGGTCTTTGCATGTTAATAAATGTCTAGTTAATAATTTATATAACATTTCAGGCCTAAAGAAAGACCTGCAATAGACAGATTTAGCTCTTGCATAATGTATGTTTAACATTCAAATTTTATATAAATTTAAATATGAAACGATTTGCAAGAAATCATGATGTCCAGTTGTCAGGTTTAAAACAAGATTCTTTTACACTTGTTTGGCTAAAAAAGATATATTGATAATTCTTATAATGCTGTATGGAAACACGTATTTAATAACTTTTAAAAATCACGTACAGAATGAATTTAGATATAGAAGCATTATCTACGAAATATCTCAAAGGTAGTCTTAAAAAATATACCTTTATTTTATAGAGCTTTGTTAATAGCCTGGGCTAGCTGCTATAACGATATTTTAAACCAGCCTTTATTTGATAATCCACTTATTCTATATAATGCTAAAACTCTACATTTGTATAATTATATATTGCATAATATTGCAAATATTGCTGACATGTTTTTGTGTAATACCTGGTTTAATCCATTCAACATATATACTAGATTCGTTTGATAGGGATGATAAAGACATTGACTATGCCAAAATTGAAAAATATTTTAAAATTTATTGTTCGTCTATATCCCCCCCACCAGCTTGGTTGAATATTATTGATAATGAAAGCCATGTGATACATAATAAAGTGAATTAATGTATCTCTTGTGGAGAAAAACACTACCGGTTGAAAATTGTACATCTAAAATATTTTATAATATATTAAGAGATAAATTCTATCAGAAATTCACAAATGAATTATTTTGGGATCAATTTCACTTTATCATTAGTATCAAAAGTTGTTTGGACATTTATTTTTTGTTATTTTAAAAGCAATGAATGTATTGGAAAGTATAAAAGTAGAATTATTGATGAGTTGTTTTGTGTATTACTATGGTTTTTGCAACCATATTGTAACTCTAACTAATAATTGGGTTCACGTACATGTATGGTAGAGAAGTCATATATCTCACACACTCAAATTAAAATGAGTGATAGATTTACATGTAAAAAAGTGATAATCTGGTAAAACAAAACAAACCCTACTAGTTATGTCCTTTTCATTGTCAAAATATCCATCAAATAGTATGTTGTTTATGACATGTGTTTGGTAGAACAACTGAGGTAATGTTCTGATCCCGGTCATTTTTGGGAGGGAAATTAACACCAAAGTCAGTCTATGACGTAATGGAATTAGACGGTTGAAAATGAGGGTGTTGAGCGAAATTCATTAGAGCTCACCCTGTCTGCCAGAGGAATATTGGTGCCAATCGGTTTAAATATAATAAAGGTGTATAAAAGACTTAATCTGTAGTTGTAATTATTTCGATCACGAATAAATCACAACAAAAACGGTTAGTAATAGTACATTTGTACACTCTGTCAAAGTAGGGGGTGGGGGTCGAATGCTTAGCACGTGCGTGCTGTATCATAAAACCTGGCATTGAGTCAACTGGCGTGGTTTCGAATCCCCGGTTGTACGTGACAAGGGGTAGGAACGCCTGTCCAACCTCGTGGGTTTTCTCCGGGTCCTCCGGTTTCCTCCCACGGCTAAAGTCTCCTACGCGCAGCGAATTATTGAAATAAAATTAAACCACATGTTAGTCCCGAAATGACCTCGTCAGTGTCGGGTGGACGTTAAACCCCATTTCTTTCTTTCTTTCTGTCAAAGTAGACAAATTAAAGATATCAATCATTTATCCTCAACATGTCCTGAAGTTTTAAAAGGTCTAGTTTCATGGATTTTTATCCTGAAGGATTCGATCTTACCCAATTTCATCATCTTATTCTGTTTGGTACTAAATTCATTAAGGGGAGTAAAAAGAATAAAATACTTATTCTCTTATTTTCATTTACCCGCCTAGCCATAATAAAACGTCGTAGAATGTTTGTTAAAACTGGAAAAAAATGGATGTAATAAAATTATTCATGAAATGCGCCGAATCTTTTGGTTCTTTATAAAGAAAGCCACTTCAGGGAGCTATTAGAGACATCTAGTCATGTATTACATTACGCCTTAATCCCTGAAATAAATGGTTGTACGTGACAAGGAGTAGGGTCGCCTGTCCAACCTTGTGGGTTTTCTCCGGGTCCTCAGGTTTCCTCCCACTGCTAAAGACCCCTACGCGCAAGCGAATTAGTGAAATAAAACTGAACCATGTGTTAGTCCCGAAATGGCCTAGTTCGTGTCGAGTGGACGTTAAACCCCATCTCTCTCTCTCTTATAACCTATCTGTTATATTTGTTATAAGTTATATAACTTTCAGCAATACAAAAATTACTTACTTATTATTAATATTTAACGTCTGCTTCTAGGCGCATGAGGTTCAGAAGGGGCCCGTGTCTCAAAGCCACATACCCTCACACCAGGGATAGAAACCACGATCATAAGCCACAGGTGACCGGCCAGGTACAGCTCGAAGCGCGACATTCTAGACCACTAGGTCATCTCAATTTACATTGGATGCCGAGAGATACTAGTTTAGATTTGATAATTATGGCGACTTATTAACTCCTAGCTTTTGCATTTGACAGGGCTCTTTTTGGGTGATTTTGTCTTTGGCTTGATTGAACTCTGCTACTAGACATGCTTATAGTGCTGCCACTTCGTCTTGAAATGTGAGATCATTGAAATTAATATGTTTATAATAACTTTTGAGGTTTGCTCTGGCATTTTGGTGAAAGTTTCTGAATTGATACGATTGTCAGGTGTTCGTAACTTGATGGGCTTTTAGTTAAAGGTTTCTCACACAGTCTTTTATTAATGATAAAGAATGGCTGAGATTTGTACCTTGATTGTAGTCTGGAACTTATGTTCTAATAGAAAGAAAAAGTTCAATACCCCTTTTCCATTTAACGTGTGTTACTCGCCCAGAATGCACCAAATTTTAGTATTTTTACGTATATAATTTATAAACTTTTTGGTTGTATGACTCTAATGAAATGTAAATATAGGCTGGTTTTTCGATTTTCTAAAATAAATTTTATCTTTATATTAAAATACAATAATTGAATTAAACATAAATACAAATTACAAAGCTGATATCTTTATTTTAAAGTAGCTAAGTCTTTAACTCAATATCATTCAAAATATTCCACATCGAAAACACAAATTATTTGTCAATTTAAATCCGATATCCAATATTCAAGACAAAATAAACATTTTACCATTGGTACACGAATCGTGTAAAGGAATGCGTTTCAGCGTCATTTGTAACAAGGCTTTCGAAGAATGAGGCTAGACATATTCAACAAGTCATGTCAAACGGTGACTTCATATTTTTATATGGAGAGCATGCGCAATGAATACTAGCAGTGTAAACTCGAATAACCAGACGCTAGTGATTTCCATTCGATTGAGACTTCTGGCGTATTTCAGCAAACATAACTGTTTTGAAATTAGAGTAATGTAAATGTAAATCAGTTTATATACATTCATATTACATTATTATATGCGTTGCGACCTATTTGTGTCAATTTCTAGGTCCGAAATATTAGCGATTTAGCTCCTTTAAAATACAATTAAATTAAACAAAAATACAAATTTTGAATCTGATAATGTCTGATTTGAAAAACAAAATAATATTGATTTTAATGTTAATTTCAGTGTACAAATGTTAATTCTAGTGTACAAATGTTGAAATACGACAACAAATGAATAGTTAATAAGAATTAAGGGTTGTGAATTATGTCTTTTTGTGTTATATTAATTTTAATCATGTCCTTCGCTTTAATTGATTTCAGAAAATTAAAAAAAATGATACCTGATGTAAAATTGTCCGAAAGGTTATAAATTTCAACTGGTGTACTTATATGTATAAAATATGAGAGAACTGGTTTCAATAAACTTATTGTTAAATTAATTATTAAGTTGTTATTTGTTTTACAATGTTTAAAGCTTTTTATCAAAGCTGACAAAAAACGTACCTTAAAATCATCATCTTCTTTTTAATTGATATTAGACCTGATGTAAAATTATCCGAATGGTCGTAGATTTCAACGAGTATACTTATTTTGAAAATCTTATGTCCAAATTAATTATTAAGCTGTTATTCTTTCTGCCAGGACATTTTATACTGCTAGTCTGATATTACATACTTATAGGTGGCGTATAGTTGATATTCTTGCGTTTTTTAAATTATTTGTTACCTACACATTCGATATAAAATTACATTGTGCTTGTAAATTTGGGGGTGGGGGTGGGGGCTGAATTTTTATCTGTACATCAACTTCTTTTTATTTTCAATATTTTAGATTAAATTGCACAAATGTATTATTATATTTACATTTGATGTTTTTGAATAAATAATTGTTGTTTTAAAAAAATATAAAAAAGCGCGTGCGCGTGCATTATAATTATAGTCTGTCATTGAGTTAACTGGCGTGATTTCGATTTCCCGTTTATAGGTGTTAAGAAGTTGGGTCGCCTGTACAACCTCGCAGATTTTCTCTGTGTCTTCCGGTTTTCTCCCACTACTAAAGAACCCAATCTGATTAAAATACAGATCTATATTTCGTTTCGTTTTTTATACTTTCGATGGCCTACACTACATGAAGATCTGACTAGTTTTAGTGGAAGGACGCGTCAGGTGTTATACGAGCGGCTTTTGAACGTATGACGTCAGACATTGATTAATCAATCAGCGTTGACGTTTCTAATGGTTTACCCAAAGTTCCGTGCAACTCACGCCAAAAACTAACCGTAACAAAGCGTTTCATTCCCTAATCCCTCACATCTTCCAGAACGCAGGTTACATAACAGCTCTTCCAGATCCTTGTGTAGTAAAGACAAGTAAAATGAAATTTTGACCTACAAAAAACGAAACGAAATGGGATCTGTGTTTTAATTAGATTGTAAAGATCCCTATCCCAAGCGAATTATTGAAATAAAATTGAACCATATGTTAGTCCCGAAATGGGAGCAACTGTGGCTATGTGGTTAAGACATTGGCTCGCTAGCCTAGAGGTCGGTGTTTGATCCCTGCATTGGCCGAAAAAGTTCATCGGGATTTTCCAACGTAGCTTCCCCTTGTCAGTAGTGCAGGGTGGATGGCCTGTCAGGAACAGCTGTCTAGTCCTTCGGGTGGAACGAATAACCGAGGTCCCGTGTATATATATCCATGCACGTAAAAGATCCCTTGGCAGTTGGAATTCGATATAAGAGTAAGCAATAGTGCCGCTGCCCAGGCAAAATGTCCCTCATAGCACACTGTATGGCGTATGCCCGTCTTCAATAGCCCAGTCGGAGTAGAACAGTAGGACGTTAAACCCCATTTTATTTCATTTCATTTAGTCCTGGAATGACTTAGTTTGTTTGAGTGGACGTTAAACCCGATTTAACTCTCTCTCTCTCTCTCTCTCTCTCTCTCTCTTCCTCTCTCTCTCTCTCTCTCTTGTAAATTTACATCCATCGTTTATCAACACCGTGCTTCTAAATTTATATCAGAGTTGACTTCCATTTACATGGTGGGTTTTTTTTTGTTTTTTTTTTGTTTTTAAACTAAAAACAACTCATGTCGTTTAGATTTAAATCTAAAAGGCGACCATTTTATAGGCAACTTTCTGCCAGCCATTTTCCTTGAAAAATACAATTTGGAGGGTATATTTACTTGAAAGGCCAATTTCTCCTAATATTGACACATAATGATTGAATTTTAAACAAATCAAAATGTTTAATTTCGTAAACTATATACAAAACTGTTACAAAAGTAATCCAAACTGTGTGGACTGAAATCTTTTTTGACTATCTACACTTGACCTTTTCATTATTAATGTAGCCTACTGTTATTCGATATATCAGATAAATTTTGCACGAAAACAAATTGGCCAGTTCATTTTTATGGAAGACCAAGCAGCTCTTTATTCAGTGTTCTAGTCCTTATTTCTTATTTCTTCATTTGTCGTATTTCGACATCTGTACACTAAAATCAATACCTGTATCTTAAAATCAATATTTGTTTTACAAATCAGACATATGTCATATCAGATTTGTTAAATGTATTTTAATTGTATTTTAATATAAAGATAAAATTTATTTGAGAAAATCAAAAATTAGCCTACTTTTACATTTCATCAGAGAAATACAACGAAAAACAAATCTGGAACAACAAATTTCTAAATACAAATCTCCAAATACAAATCATACAAAACATTTCTTCAAAAACATTTCTTCAAAAACATTTCTTGAAAATCCATCGAATCGGAATATTATGACTTCATGAGCACAAATCAGCCTGGCAAACAATCAGTCACCATACAATAATGGGGAATCGAACAAGCATATACACAATAAGAAAAATCGCTCGATGACCGCGACTCTAGTGAAACCACGTGCGTAGTATGGCTAATCGGACTGGGCCTTCGGGAAAGACAGTAAATGGAAACTAGTCTATTTTTAGAAATTAGGTTTTGTCTGATAGCGAAATATTCTTTTCTCAAACGATAGAGTGTTTAATCTCTTCTAATGAAATAAAACCAAGTACGAACAATCCAAACCATAAGACAGAATTCGAAGTCCTAAAAAACGTTATAGGCAAAATAGTGTATTCAAGAAAAATAGTGTACCCAGCAAATGGACTGCTCCTCGTGTATAAAATACACGACAAACAGTGGTAACAGGTGTCCGGAAGAGTAAGCTTACCCTGCCTGGCGCCACACCCGCCATAGCTGCATCCAAACTATTAGGCGAAATGTTGGTAAAATAGCGTGATTGGCAAATGAACTATTGGTATGCAAAATGCACGCGATGAACTGTGTTAACGATG